GTGTGTGTGTGTGTGTGTGTGTGTGTGTGTGTGTGTGTGTGTGTGTGTGTGTGCGCGCACCATCTGGGTCACTGATGATGTCCAGCAGTGATTTGTCTAAGGCAGATTTGCTCATCAGCTTCTCTTCGTACTCAAAGTAAACATCTAATTTACGACTCTGGAGATAAAATCATCAGGTTAGATTAAATCATCAGGTTAGATTAAACACAAAGTTCAGTTTAATTAAAGTTCAATCAGCGCTCAGGTGTAGTTTCTCCTCAGGTTGTTTACCTTGATGTGGTCGAGCACTGCAGTGGCCACGTTGGTGTGGAGGTCAATCAGTCTTTTCTTCTCCAGAAGTTCAGGCAGAGAGCTGAACATTACAACAATGTGGAATTAATTTAAATATTAATTTAATTTAATTACAACAGAAATAACATGTTTTAACTTTATCAAACTGTGCAGACTGAAGCAGTTTACTGCAGTAATTTTAATGTGCTGTTATGAACTGCAGGATGTAAACAGACTCATCGGAAAACAGAACGTCTTGATTTCTCTAATTCATAAACAAATTTAGATAAAATATGAACAAATTAATAATTTATACTCAGTATTCTATAAAATAAAACATGTTTTATTCTAATTTTATTTGTTTTGTTGTAATAAAAAGATGTAATTAGGGCTGGGTGGTAAGACCTGACATTCATATCAGGGTATAAACTGAATCTCTTCACAGTAACAGTACATATATCGCGGTAGAAAATGATCATAAAARGCAAAGATAATGTAATTTTTAGAGCATTTATTTAGCAGAAAACTGTAATCATAATCAAACCCAGTAGTTTTTTGCTGTAGTACAAATGAACATAACAGAAGAACAAAATAATATTTTATATATATTGCAAAACGGTTTCAACAAACAAAAACATTTCTCAAATTTTCAACCATATATAAAGTGGATGTTATAACCAGAACTTCAAGTAAAATTAGTCATTTAGACAAAAATCATTTTACAGACTCTAGTTTTTGTTTTGAACCTATTTTTAATGTTTTCTGAGACGCCTGCAGTTTGAAGCAGCTCCGGTCTGAACCGTTCAAACAGCACCAGGTCTCCGTCCAGCCAGCAGGTTCTGAGAGTCCGCCTCACTGTTTGTGGAAAAGGAACCAGATCTCTGAACCAATCTACAGCCGGATATTTAACAGAAACAGAAGAAACCTCCTCCTAATCCTCTCTGAGGACATTAGTAACACGATAACTGGCTGAAATCGACACGTTCGACAGCCAAAACCACAAAAAGGTTTATTAAAGTTATCTCCATCACCCACACACAGCTGAGAGCTGATAATTAAACACAGGTGTGTGAGGGGGCTCACCCTGCAGCTGCCTCTGAGTCAAAACAACCCATCAGGAGGGTTAAAGTGGGGTTCTCAGTAGTCAGTATCTTACCTGCAGCAGACAGGTCTGGTCAGACTGGGACAGATGGTTTGTTAACATACAGTTTTCACCTCGCTGAGCTGTTTTTGTTGAATTAAAATGATAAAAAGTACTGAAGGTGGGAGAATAAAATMAAATCAAAGCAGCCGTTGTTCACCTGACAGCAGAGGTGAGCTTGGCCGTGTTGTCAGACAGCATGCTGATGGCTCCTTCATCCTCTCCTTCTAAACCCTGAAAACAAACAAACAAACAAACAGGAYCTGATTAAAGCCAGACTCTTCACTTAAAATAAATAAAATAAAATAAAACAGTTCCACAGATCATTAGCTCTGTGGTCATAAAGTCAGCCTGATCTTTCAGTAATTAAAGTTATAGATCAAAGGTCGTTGTTTCATATCACTGTAAACAGTGAACATTTCAAACTGTTATAATTCAAACTTGATTAAAGTTGTTTGTTAAACCAGGAAGAGTCTGACCATGATGCTCTTCAGACGTTTGACCTCGTCCTCCTGAGCTCTGTATGAATCCAGCTCCTCCTGAACCGACTCTGCCACCTCTGGAAACGGACTGAAACAAACAAACAAACAAACAAACAAAGACAGTGTTTTACTGAACAGCTCGCCCTCCTCCTCCTCAGCTGTAGAGAGCTGAGCATGTGACCGACCTGCCCTTGTGTTTCTGCCAGAACGGGTCAGCAGCGGTGAGGTCATACGTCTTCCTGGTCTTCTTCTTGGGTCGGGCTCCAGCAGGAGGTGCCTCTGCCCCCCCTCCTTCCTCCAACACCACCCTGTTCAGGTGGAAGTCCTGATGGACACAAGAAAACTGAATAATCCACTTCCAGTCCAGGTCAGGGGTCTGCAACATTTATCACTTACAGAGGCATTTGGACCTGACACCCCCCAAAAGAAACAAACAAACAAACAAACAAACAAACAAACAAACAAACAAGCCAGCCAGAAAGAAAGAGAGAGGGGAAGGATGGATTGATGGATGGATGGATGATGGATGGATGGATGAATGGATGGATGAATGGATGGATGGATGAATGGATGGATGGATGAATGGATGGATGAATGAATGGAAGGATGGATGGATGGATGGATGGAGGATGGATGTTGGATGGA